GTGACCCGTTGAATTTGCACATAGGCAAATCTCTCCTAATTCATCCGCCCGGCATAACCTCGGTAAACCCGTTTGTTTCACAACAACCACAGAACCGCCAGGTATAACTTGACCGGCATCCTGAAAGACTACACGATCTAGATTCAAGATGAAAACAAGCAACTCTAGATTTTTGAGTCAAAAAAAAACATCACATCCTGTAAATTAACACATTCACGACAGGGCCGATTTTTCAAGTACTGCCATTTCGGACCAGGGCAAATTTCGCAATATCGAGTTTGCGTAGTATTTTCTGGCTAATGATAGGTGTCTAAAATGTAATCATCCGTAAAGTAGGTCAAGAGATGTATATGAAACTTTATGGAGCTTGCCTTAAAAAGTTTCATCTGAAAAAATCGAAAATTTCAGAAAGCATACGACCCACCGGTGGGTCGTATTGTCGTGAACGTGTTAATATGAATGATGTAGAAGTTCTGCAACTATACCTGCAGTGTCAAGCTCGTGAGTGAGTTTTCCTTATCTACTCTGACAACTGAATGACTCAATGCAGCCATTGACAAAATTCCTCGTCCACTGCTACCACTTCCACTTGAGGTACGCCTGAAAAAGCTAGATGAAGCTAACTCTCAAAATCAAGAGCAGTGTGAGTAATTAACTCACTTTCTCAAGGAGATTGTTCCCGTTTCCGAACTCCCGGAACATGGACACATCGCCTCAGGTCTTAGCCCATGTGCGGCAAATGTAGCAGCAAACTGATCGCAAGATGACAGTGACCACGGGTTTGCTCCATCAGCTACTAGTAAGGATTTGAGAGAGGATAAGTTGACATCTTTGTGATCGCGAGTGGCTAAGAGACCCCAATGAAGATCTCGCGACTTTACCAAAGCAACGGAAGCTAAAAGTTGAAAAATAATGAATGAACACGAAATTTTGAAAATGACTGACCTTGCAACTTCGTCGCCATAAGCATCCAACTTGCTGGATTGATTTTCATCAAAGAATACGGTACAAATACTACTCGCATTCCATTGAACACAGCCGCAAGAACTGCATGCCAAAGCCCCGCCTCTCGCTTGAAATCCAGCACACAGATCATGGTTTCACCTTCAGAATAGGGGATGAGGTGAAGGAGAGAGAAATTTCTCCAAACTTATAAAATTTACCTTGCTTATAGTCCATCGCTGCTGTGATAGCTCGACAAT